TTGAATCTAAAGGACGCAGTAGGCCTCTTCCTATGGCAAAAAAAGAATGTTTTTAAAAAAGGATGTTATTAAAAGCTAAACCATTATATAAAATAATTTAACGGCGTATGGTGTCTTACTGGTTCATAGGGAGTGTCTTTCTATAAAAAAACATTTTGATAGTGGTTTTTGTCTTGTTACAATTCCTAAGACAAGGCAAGTAACCTTTATTTCTTCAATTATGAAACAAGTGCAAATGCAGCTGTAAAGCACCTCTAAAAAGATAATAGAGTCATTATTTACTGTAAATCAATTTCATTCAATGTTAATTTAATGTTCAATAACAGTGTAATGTTGCAAAGTTCATCAGTTGGGAAACATGCTTAATTCAACAATAAAGCAGCATAAAGGACAACTGCGTCATCATTCAGCTCAGTTCTGTTCAGTTTTGAAATATGTACATTGAATAATACTGCAAAGTTAATCAATTTCCAAGCTTACTTCAGCTGTAAGTAGCTCTACAGAGTTCATCAATTATGGAACAAATCTGAATAAGCTATTATGCACCTTTACTGATATACTAAGCTACATATAAGAATCTTTTAAACTCCAGCCAAGCAAGCCCAAGGTAACAGTGGCACTGAAAAAAAGATGTTCTGATGTTGTTTTTAATGGGTGGGTGGAAAAAATATTTTTCAAATCTTTCGCATTCTCTCGCAAAACTTTTGCACTCTCCCGAGAAACTTTGCGTTCGCTCACAAAACATTTGTGCCCCCTCGCATTCTCTCGCAAAACCAGTGCAGTGGTTCATTCAGCTCCATACATTCGCAATGTAGTGGTACGTAGATTTTTATTTTGAACTTGGACTCAAGTATAAAGAAATACAGTCAGTTCTTAGTTCAAGGCACCATTTTGGGATATTCTGAAACGCTTAATGTGGCTTAATGTAATAAAACGGTAACATTGGAGGACCAAAAAGAGTTATGACACTCAAAGTTCAATGCAAAGGAGATATTTTCTTTTAAAGAAATCGTTGTTTAAGGACTACAAAAAAAGGCTGGTAGGGACTACAACAAGCTTCTTCCCGGGTTTGTGACATCACTAACCCCGATGTTTACACAACCCCTGTCCCCGGGAACATGCAACTACCTGTAATGGTAAGGGACCATGACATTTCCAGACAACGTGCACTAGGCGGTTAGCGAATCACAACACACTGGGCCAGCTAACCAATCTGAGCCCATTGCGTATTTCTGAAGGAGGGGCTTAGAACCAGGAACTCAACAGACTGTTCTGACGAGAACAGAAACAGCAGTGTAGAATAAAGGTAAAATATGTGAAACAAACACTTTTTTCTTTAAATCGAAGCATGAACATGTTACACTGCACCCCATAAACACAATCAAGCCTTCGAAAAAGCTGATCAACCACATCTTTAAGCTTTTTCTCCCCCATAGAAAACCATTATAAAGAAAACGCTTAAGGTAGGCCAATGGATGAAGTACGTTGATATAAAAAGACCAAATCTGGTATACAGGTATTAATAAAAGGCACAGGAAAGCAGATGAGCACTCTTTAGTCTTTATGAGGCTTTGCGAAAATGTTCACTAGATTCTTAGTGATTAATTATAATTGTAAAAAAGTGCTTTACTTGAAAAGTATTATAACATAGAACTGAACACAAAGTGTAGCTACGCATTTTAGCTCTAGCAGTGACTCGTTTGTGCTTAGGCCAGATAGGGACCGTCTACAAAGTACATGTGGAAGAAAAAAAAAAAAGATTAGATTTCCCATCTGATTTTTTTCAATTAAAAGGAATTTGGTGAATACACACACACAAACTCACTTACAGAATAATCCATTTAAATAAGTTATACTGTACACAAAATATGTCATTATTATTATTATAGCCTATTATTGCTACTAATACAATCTTTTCATAATTTAAAAAATAATCTTGAATCTAAAGGACGCAGTAGGCCTCTTCCTATGGCAAAAAAAGAATGTTTTTAAAAAAGGATGTTATTAAAAGCTAAACCATTATATAAAATAATTTAACGGCGTATGGTGTCTTACTGGTTCATAGGGAGTGTCTTTCTATAAAAAAACATTTTGATAGTGGTTTTTGTCTTGTTACAATTCCTAAGACAAGGCAAGTAACCTTTATTTCTTCAATTATGAAACAAGTGCAAATGCAGCTGTAAAGCACCTCTAAAAAGATAATAGAGTCATTATTTACTGTAAATCAATTTCATTCAATGTTAATTTAATGTTCAATAACAGTGTAATGTTGCAAAGTTCATCAGTTGGGAAACATGCTTAATTCAACAATAAAGCAGCATAAAGGACAACTGCGTCATCATTCAGCTCAGTTCTGTTCAGTTTTGAAATATGTACATTGAATAATACTGCAAAGTTAATCAATTTCCAAGCTTACTTCAGCTGTAAGTAGCTCTACAGAGTTCATCAATTATGGAACAAATCTGAATAAGCTATTATGCACCTTTACTGATATACTAAGCTACATATAAGAATCTTTTAAACTCCAGCCAAGCAAGCCCAAGGTAACAGTGGCACTGAAAAAAAGATGTTCTGATGTTGTTTTTAATGGGTGGGTGGAAAAAATATTTTTCAAATCTTTCGCATTCTCTCGCAAAACTTTTGCACTCTCCCGAGAAACTTTGCGTTCGCTCACAAAACATTTGTGCCCCCTCGCATTCTCTCGCAAAACCAGTGCAGTGGTTCATTCAGCTCCATACATTCGCAATGTAGTGGTACGTAGATTTTTATTTTGAACTTGGACTCAAGTATAAAGAAATACAGTCAGTTCTTAGTTCAAGGCACCATTTTGGGATATTCTGAAACGCTTAATGTGGCTTAATGTAATAAAACGGTAACATTGGAGGACCAAAAAGAGTTATGACACTCAAAGTTCAATGCAAAGGAGATATTTTCTTTTAAAGAAATCGCTGTTTAAGGACTACAAAAAAAGGCTGGTAGGGACTACAACAAGCTTCTTCCCGGGTTTGTGACATCACTAACCCCGATGTTTACACAACCCCTGTCCCCGGGAACATGCAACTACCTGTAATGGTAAGGGACCGTGACATTTCCAGACAACGTGCACTAGGCGGTTAGCGAATCACAACACACTGGGCCAGCTAACCAATCTGAGCCCATTGCGTATTTCTGAAGGAGGGGCTTAGAACCAGGAACTCAACAGACTGTTCTGACGAGAACAGAAACAGCAGTGTAGAATAAAGGTAAAATATGTGAAACAAACACTTTTTTCTTTAAATCGAAGCATGAACATGTTACACTGCACCCCATAAACACAATCAAGCCTTCGAAAAAGCTGATCAACCACATCTTTAAGCTTTTTCTCCCCCATAGAAAACCATTATAAAGAAAACGCTTAAGGTAGACGAGAACAGAAACAGCAGTGTAGAATAAAGGTAAAATATGTGAAACAAACACTTTTTTCTTTAAATCGAAGCATGAACATGTTACACTGCACCCCATAAACACAATCAAGCCTTCGAAAAAGCTGATCAACCACATCTTTAAGCTTTTTCTCCCCCATAGAAAACCATTATAAAGAAAACGCTTAAGGTAGGCCAATGGATGAAGTACGTTGATATAAAAAGACCAAATCTGGTATACAGGTATTAATAAAAGGCACAGGAAAGCAGATGAGCACTCTTTAGTCTTTATGAGGCTTTGCGAGATTTTTTCGCAATTGTTGCTTTCAATAACACGTTTTGTGCTATAGTTTTGTGAAAACAAACATTTAAAAAAAAATTATTTTAGGAACCAGTAACAACACACAGCATTTAAAGTTGAGTTAGAACACTAATTTGATTTCAGTTAATTTATGTATTCCTTTGAATATCAAGAGCATGCCTTGTGCTATAGTTCTGTGAATAAATCCAACCTTAAAATGTTGTTCTATATTCGAAAAATTAGTATATGTATTTTATACAAATTTATTAGCACATCTCAATATCACTGTTTTTGCATCGCTTATGATAGTAAAACCAACTGAAAGCAGTTTTTTAGGACCTAGTAATAGAACACACTATTTGAATTTGGGATTGAATTTGTAAAATGTAAATGTAAAACTTATTTTTCTTAATAACATTACTATTACCACTACTTTTATTCTTTCCAACATGTAACATTTGCGGTGTTTTTACCAGGCGAGATTGAGTATGTGTGTATGTTTCAAGGCTTTGTGTGTACAGTTTGATAGCCTTTTTTCAAGAATAAAGAATACGGCTGGAACAACTGAGCGTTTTTCCTCTTCGTTTTGTACATTGTAGACAGTCCCTTTCTGCTATTTTACATTACAAAATGTATAGGTTGCGATACAGCAAAGCAGATTGAAACACACATAAACTAGGCTACACGGTGTGTTCTCTTCTACATTTTAAAACAATTCGAACACAACCTGTTTTTTGTTGTTATCCTAAATCGTTACTGATCTATTGAAGTGTTTCGAAGCTGAATCTGTGACAAATGTCAAACGTCCAACCAAATTTATATGGGTTTTAGAACCATTTCCATTTACTACATAATACTAAAATTATTTTCCATCACCCAGTCGCAGCAAACAAGTTTTCATGTTTTAATAACATGCGATTTACAACACTAGTTCCGATTCGTATTTAAGTGAGCATGCACTTGAGTCGCAAACATGTGTACAGAGTTTTATTTCTCGATTCAGTGAGTCGGTGAGTGATCGATTCAGTTCGAATCGTGAACGAACTCCACAGATTTATTAAAAAGATCCAACACAAATAAAGGTTTAGATTTCCATTTCGAATCTGACATAGCTATTTAAACCCCTTTACGGACCAAACTGCTTTCTTAAATCACTTTCTGGCTCTCTTTGTTTGGAGTAACATAGTTCCTGAACCAAAGACTGACATCTTAAGATATGACCTCTCGTAGAGCTAAACTTCCTCAAAATAGTGCGTGTGACTAATTGAGTGACTTTCTGTTGCTATTTCGTGACTTACGTCCGTATCTTCATCTATGCTGTCTCTGTCGAGTTCACCAATGTAGTACTGCTCCATCCACCTCCGGGCGTTCTCCGAGTGCCGGTGTGGGGGTCCTTCGATCTCCCGGCTGACATCCTTGCCAGAGCGGCGGAGAATGAGCGCCTCTCCTCCCGGGTGCATCCGGAGGAACCCCGTCACATCGTAGACGCGCGTCCCTAACAACACCCAGCACGAATCCTTGGTGCAATGTTTGGATACCTCCTTTTCGGAAAAAAAGCGAGGGGACACCGAAGGCGACATTTTATTATTCATTTAGGGGTGTCCACAAGGTGATAAGAGAACGGTAGGCACACGCAGGTGGGACCCCCACTGACTTTCTTCAGCGCTCGTGGACTACAACTACTGACTTTCGACTTCGAGTCCGAGCAGAGTTCAACTTCATACCCAGCCTGCTCATTAAGCATCTCATGAATAATTCATGACGCAGTCACTGCTGACCCGAGCACCTGTTGCGCGTGCCGACTGCAAGCGCGTGCAAAAAGATGTACATGCTGTGTTTGTGTCGTTTTTCTAGTTTATAATTCACACAAAAAGTCATTTTATGTTTTATTTTCTAAAAAAAAATGACACTAATGCTAAAAGTGAACTCGTCACGTAAACTGTCGATACTTGCTCAGTGTGTTTCCTCCTTGTGGGCGTAGTTGGTGTCAGAACCCTGGCGCTGTGTTTGCACACAGGGCGCGACTCAAACAGGCTGTCAGTAGCGTTTTATGGCACTGTGAGACCTGACTCGATCAGTGCGATTTTTTTAGGTTTTCATTTAACTTAAGACGCAGATAACCCGCCTTGGACTAAAAATGGAAAAAAAAAAGCGCTGCTGGTTTCCCATACTGGATGTTTTTAAATAGCAGGGCTGTTTTATAATTAGATTTCTAATTTCCTGTACTTGATATTGATGTAATGTGGAATATAAATGAGATTGAATGCCTTTTAAATATGATTGTTTATTTTTGAGGTTTACTTCACCTGCGCAACACACACTTACGAGCAGTTGAACAAACAAACAGAAATATAAAACAAATAATAATAATAATAATAAAACAGACAGAACTGAGTATAGATGTTTTAAAGGAAATTAACATAAGCATAAAACAGTGAATGATTAATGAAAGTTAGTTTGGTCACTGTTCTACTCAAGATTTTGTTTTTAAAAAATTTAGTATGAATAATCTAAAATCTTTTATAACCTAGTTTTTGCCTTTTACCATCACAGCACCATGTAAAATCTAAAATTACAAATAACAATAAAGGAATTTCCCCACTATACTTTTAATGTCTATTTAATTCTTCCAGTGTTGAGTTTTTTTGTTGTTGTTTTTTAGGGCATCACAGTTTCGTCTCAAGGTGGCAGTATCGCTAAGTAAATGTTTAACGTTTTCCACGTTTTTACAGAAAATACATTAATTTACTAGAAAATCTTACATATATTTAATCTAATATTGTATGTAAAGCAAGCTTAAATAGTACTAAAATTACCCAAATTATAAATCCAATTATAATAGGCTAATATTTGGAATCAGAAGTTCTTGTGTTTGATCAATTACACAAGTATTGATAGTCAGAGTAAGGTAGGGCAATATCAGTTATGATAGTCAATGTACTGTAAACTATGATGAAGGGTGACTTAATAAAGGGAGGAGCAAGGAAACAGGAAGAACTTTTAGTGGCTGTTGAAATTTGCACTGAGTGGTTACTAAGAGATTTCTTACAGCTCCATATATGACACTGAACCATACAAATTTACAGCTTGGGAGAAGATAAAGAGAGGAGGAGAGTTCAGAGAGCTCTGCTCCATATCGCATGATCAAATAATGTCAAAAGTAACACCAAAATATAAAATAATAATATCTATTCCAAACTTTTTTCTATCTATTGAATTTATTTAAGATTATGGTAGGGTTGGAAATATTATCATGATCATTTCTGCATAGGCCTAACTCAACAATACTTTTCACTCACACATCTTGAAGGTTGCAGATCTAGCCAAACGTTTGTTTGATTACTTGAATTTGCTGGTAAAGCTGGTAAGGCCTGTCTGGAGGTTTTTGAAGGCGATGTTTGGTTTTCACAAAACTACTGACAGTTAAACAAGGCAAAAAAGCTGTGGCTGTCCAAGTGTGCCTGCAAACGTATGACAGCACAGATGTGATGGTGTCATTTTAGATGATGAACTGAGTTTTACGTCTTGCTAATACTGTCTAAGACATCGCTTCTCATTTTCACTGGTGGATGCTAAGAAATTGATTCATTACTTCCGAGTCCACATTACTGTTTTAGTTCATTTAAAATGGTTACCATGTAAGTAGGATTAATTTTAAGGTTCTTTTACTGGGTTTTAAAGTACTGAATGCACTAATACTAATGCATTTTTGACTTGTCTGTTCAAATGTGATCCAAATCATTGTATTAAATCTTTTCATTTATTTATTTACACGATGCAACGTAAAAAAAAAAAATCATCATCATCAAAATATCATACTTTTATTTATTAGCTTTTTTAACCATCTGTCAAAATGTGATCGTAATCTACTAATAAGTAGTTTTCATTCTTTTATTTATTTCCTTACTTACTTCATGCAAAGTATCACGCTGTAAGCTGGTGAACCTATTTTTCCAAAAGACATTAATTCCTAAAAAATAAAAAAGGCAATTAAAATTAGACAAGCTCAGAATATTCACATTTAAAAACTGTAGATCTTTTAGTTTCTGATTAATATAGGCCTGCTTTATGCCACTGTATTTCATTTTTATTTTCTGTTTCAATTTCTGAAAGTAAAGTGATTTATTGATTAATTGATTTTATTATTATTATTAAGTTGGCTTGAAAAAGCTCTATAATACTATTTCTAAGCTATTGAGACTCATTCAAACTCTATCTATTTAAAAGGGTTTTAATCTATCTATTAAAAACTAGTAAATTAAAACTTAACTATTTCAAACTGAAAAACTTTAAAATTCAAGCTTTTAAAACTACTTCAGACTTTCTGGCAACCCTAAAGTTTGTAGTTAATATTTTTGTTGTGTTCTTTTTTAAAGTTTTATAAACTGCATTTATATGAAAGATGCTACTATACATACATTTATTTGTGTCCCAAAGATGAACGCCATTCATTCATCAACCCCTAATCATTTTCATGTTTTTATCAAATTCTCTTTCATTCAAATACCCATCTATGAGCTAAACCCAAATAAACACACACGTAACCCATGACCCGTTGTCATGGTATAGAAGCGTCATTGTCAGTAAAGCATGAGCTGCTTTAATTTATGTTTGTAGGCGACACAAAGCTTTTCTCCCAGGAGCACGTCAACCAATTAATAGCATGCATTGTTCTTAGAATGCTCCTTTGTTCTCTCCTACGGGATTCTAAATTTACCCACCAGAGACTAAAGGTAGCGTGATAATTAACTGCATGTCACTGCTGCCGAGGTCCTGAAACGCGAGACACCCTCTGCCCATTGTTGTGTCCAGTTTAAAGCAGTGGCGGAGTGACATCACTTGGTGATGTCAGGTTCAGAGGGAGGAACTGGACCGCAGGAACCCTGTGATTGGTCACATCATGAGGCACCTGGGAAGACAGCGGGTATAAGGGATGAATGCTCGGTCAAGGCAGGCAAAATTTTACACATAATTCTGCAGCATCCCTTGGACGCCCTGAACTGAGTTGGTTACCATGGCAACTGTTGTACCGGTGAGTATATGGAGATTAAGAGTGCTTTTTTGTATTGTAGATGAATTGATGATTATTCACTTTTAAGAATTTAAGATGACTTCACACATGGCTGGAGTTCAATAGCAGATGGTCCAAACAGAAGAAACATCTTCTTGTGCTGCACTCCTGAAATTATTTTGGTGAAATTTGGAAGACAGATTTTGATTTTAGATTAATTTAAAAGATGTCTTGGTGCTTTCACACCTGCATTGTAATAATTTTAATCCCTGTTTCGGAACAAAGGGATTTTTTTTTTTTTTTTGCTATTGATTACATAGTGTCTTTGGTGGTGATACTAGTGAAATAAAATACATGCCTTGGATCACTTAACATGATGAATCTTATTCTCAGTTCAGTTAGTTTGAGCTTTCTTTGTTCTAGACTGGGTCATGTTCTGTCAGTGCTATTGGTGTGGATGTATCATGTCTGTGCTCTGGGCCGATCAAGTGTCAAGTAAAACAATCTGTGTGTCTTCAAGCTTGTTGTATAGAGTCTCTGTGTGTGTGTGTGTGCGTGTGTGTCATGGCTTTGGTTTCTTAGGATGTAGTTAATTAATCGTGTTCTTGGGTTGAAACCAGTAGCTTGGTGAAAGATTTGTTATCAACTGGTTGATTGATATAAAAGATCTCCAAATCTTGATTTCAAGCAAAACAATTCTATATCCTTGTTCTTGTTTTTCTTTCAGTGTGCGTCCTGCTATGGCAGCAGCAGTGTTCAGCTCTTTGGGAGGGGGCCTGGTGGTGATTACATGTCCCTTTTCAGTTACAGAGGGCCCAGAGGGGCCCCTCGCCCACGTCTGGCCTGCCACTGTGCTCTGGGCTGATCAAGTGTCAAGTAAAACAATCTGTGTGTCTTCAAGCTTGTTGTATAGAGTCTCTGTGTGTGTGTGTGTGTGTGTGTGTGTGTGCGTGTGTGTCATGGCTTTGGTTTCTTAGGATGTAGTTAATTAATCGTGTTCTTGGGTTGAAACCAGTAGCTTGGTGAAAGATTTGTTATCAACTGGTTGATTGATATAAAAGGTCTCCAAATCTTGATTTCAAGCAAAACAATTCTATATCCTTGTTCTTGTTTTTCTTTCAGTGTGCGTCCTGCTATGGCAGCAGCAGTGTTCAGCTCTTTGGGAGGGGGCCTGGTGGTGATTACATGTCCCTTTTCAGTTACAGAGGGCCCAGAGGGGCCCCTCGCCCACGTCTGGCCTGCCACGCTCCGAAGATGACACTGCGTCAGATTTGTCGCATGTTGCGTATAATGCGCCAGCTGCGCAATAAAGAGGCAGCAGCAGCAGCAGCTGCAGCCGCCAGGTGAGGCTTACATTCCCAAATACTCATAATAAAAGGGTCTATTAAATAAAAAGAAAATCTAAATTCTATTATCTTCTTGTAGTTCTAAACCCATGTGACTTTTTCATCTGTGGAAGACAAAAAAATTGTTAGCATAACTTCCACAAATATAATAGAGATATTAATAAATATTAATATCTCCCTTTTTTGCAAATTAATGAAAAATAAAATTGGTGAAAAATATAAATATTTAGTATTTAATTTAGTAATCAGATACTAAGTTTAATTCTTAATGTTTTATTTTATTTTATATATTATTTTATTTTGTTTTATTTTATGAGTCTTTGAATCGTTCGTTCAAAACACTGATTAATTCAATAAAAAACATGTCTTTATGAATGAGTCGTTGAATCCTTTACTCAACTGATTAGATTCACAAATGAAACATATAATATATATACTTAATAATTAATTTAATTTAATTAATTTGTTGTTCACACATAATTTGCCAGTTACTTTGTCTATTTTTGATTCGCCTGTGAAAATAGTTCCAAACAAAGCCACTGCAGGTAATAGTTGTACGTTTCCAAACAATACACATCAGTGCAGAACAGATTATTCATTGTTTTAGAACAAATCGGTTAATTGAGTGATTCAATGACGTTCATAAAGACGTTTCACTCCTCACTTTAGGAGCAACTAATCGGTTGAGTAAATGATACAATGACTCATTCATAAAGATGCGTTTCGTTCCTGAATGATTTGGTGTTTTGAACAAATGAATTATTCAAAGACTCAAAAACAGCTATTGGCATAACTTGCAGACTGACCGTCTGAATGGAACATGCACAGACAACACAGTGGAGTGATGAAAATACTGAAATGTCCCACTGCTGTTTGTACTCATCAGGAACTGTTGTATAGATTAAAATAAATGAATCAACTGATTGTTATTTTAGATTTTTACTTTCTGTGTTTCTGATTAACAGAAAAGCCTCTCCTCCCAGCTCACCAATGATCAAATCGGAAAAGCGTTGCTTACCTGCCTGCTTTCGGCGCAGACGTAGTAACAATATCAAAAAAGTGAGTTAAGCATCCAGCATCTCCAAAACCTCCCAACAACTTCAGCCCTGTGGGAGTTTACTAACTAATGGAGCCAGTCCTTACTCTACACAGAAGAGTTAAAGTGAGGGACCAAGGCATCGCTCTACAATCTTGTTGAATTCTTTTGTTGGGAGGATTTAACATGCAACAAATCTGGTTTGAATTGGAAAGAAGCAGATCTTTAGATGTCCTGAGTGCTGGAAATCTTACTGCTCATACTGACACAGAGGAGTTTTTTTTTTTCTTGGACTATAGTTTGGACTCGAATTGTGAAATCTATGAAATTCCAGTAGGGACAAACAGTTTTGTGTGCTTCTGTCTGTAATTAAACCAGTGGAAAGTCCTCATCAGGTTGGAAATACGACACAGCTATTTGTTTGTTTATTTATTCATCTGTTTGTTTGTTTCTGTGTGGGACGGGGGGCCCAAGGTTCCCTCTCTCTCAAAGAGGTGTGATGGAAACTTAGCTACCTGTGTGCATTACCGTGTTGAAACTAAAACTTCTACACTGTGTGTGTGACAACATTGTGAATTTACTGATTTCCTATTTATCTGCATTTGAAAAACCTTCCAATAATAAAACACCTATGACTTCAAAAGTTGATTGGAGTTCACGTGATTCAGCACAAATAATCATTAACTCAGCTTCAGATTGCAAGTTTATACGCTTAGAGGTTTCCAGCTTAAAATTTATTTTGAAATGTTTTATGGGCTTTTTACCGCATAGACAAGTCATATGCATATCATGCCTTGACTGTAAGACAAACAAAAATAGCTGAACAAAGGGGAAATCCCAGAATTGCAGTTTTCGAGTATCGAATAGGATTATATTAGCAATGAGGACCTCAATGCCTCTTTTGGCAAATCCATCTGTAGAATGTTTAAATCTTTGGCGATAACAGAAATGAAACAATACTTCACATTAAAAATAAAAGGTAAAGTTCATCATATGACTTTTTTTCTTATGTGGAAAAGAGGAAATGAATAGCAAAAAGCCAGCTGCTTTTTCCCCATACATTGAAAGTGAATGGTGACCACAGCGGTCAGAGAAAAATAACTTAAATTTCAGCCTGTTGCCCTCACAAAGCTATCATATGGCTTCAGACGATTTGTAATATAGTGCTTGAGTCACATGAACCTTTATTATGAAGAATCATTGGTACCGTTGGAGCTTGAAATGCCTTGGTCACCATCCACTTTCATTATACTGTATGAAAAGAACATAGCATTAAAATTTGTCAAAACATTTCCTGTTCTATTTCACAGAAGAAATGAAGTCATCCGAGTTTAGAATGACATGAAAGTGAATAAATAGTGACAGAAATATTATTTTTGGGTAAATTGTTCCTTTAAGTGGTTAAGCTCACTTCATGGTTCTGCTGCTTATGGAATTACAATGGCTTTCGGTTGACAAAGGGCAGGTGCAGGGGTTGTCATCATCACTGCTGACCGGACATCACAGACTGTGATACAACCAAGCAGTGCTGAAAATTTCATGGGGAAGATGTTTTCTGAACATGAGCTGCCGGGGAGTCAGGTTGTAGGATAGGAAGCCAGGGATCAGGGTGTCTTCTTGAGCAAGAAGTTTAGTCCTGCATTACATTACATTTATTGTTAAAATTTTAATTTTTGGGGTAGACTATCCTTTTAAGTATGTAAAAAAAACAAAGGTAATTGCAAACACCACAGATAGGCACACATTTCAAACCTCGGATTAACAGACAATAACGAGGAAGATAAATCTAAATAAAAATCATTTATTTTCATTAATATAGTAATCAATCTACCTAGGGCAAAGAAATAAAGGTCCACCATGCCACTTTATTACTACAGTATGTGGAGGCTGCGCCAAGGTCTGAATACTGAACAGATGTACACACAGACCAATAAGGAGAGAGGGAGCGGGGTTCATTCTGGTCTTCATTCTCCATGCCTAGTTTAAGGTGGGAGGGGCCAGTGTACTTGGGGGTGGAGTCAAGGATATACTCCTTTCATCTAAAACCTGGGAGGGAAAGCTTTGAAATCTTCAAGCTAGAGGAACAGACCTGTTATAGAGGGGCAGACCAACCTTGACAGACACAGGAAAGCGGAAATGTCTGTCGGTGTGAGTGTATGCGAGTGTGCATGTGTGTGTGTGTCTGAGAGACGAGGTGTAACAGGTGCTGCTTAGATCCAACTTTCACTGTACACTTGAAGAGGTTTCAGACACAAGGGATAAAAAATTGAGGTAACAAACGCCTTCCTTATCTGGTTCCTGAAAAACAATATCAAAAAAGGAATTTCAGACAATTTATTTTGAATTTCAGACAATTTAAAAATGCTACACAAAGACAAAAACCAGAACTGTGGATTATTTGTCTTTATATTGTAATTTGTGATTAATCATTTTTAGAGATGCACAGATATTAAAATTCTGGTCAATACCAATATTTATATATATATATGAAAAATTATAATTTTTTAAACTACAATGAATATTTGAAATGCTTCAAGTGAGTTTAGGCATCACAACACTATAATGTACAGCAGCGTTGTTTTTGTTAACTAAAATTATTGAAAATCCTTTTCGGTAATAAAAAAACTGAAATAAAATAAATAATAGATAAAAAAATTGATTTAGACTTAAAATTAGAAAATTTTAAATTAGATACTAAAAAATCAAGTTGAAATACTAAAATTACTAAACTGAAATTAAAGCTAAATCAAAGTATTAAAAACGAATAAAAATGACAGGAGCCTATAACAAAATTACTAAAAATTAAACCAAAATGATAACTGAAAATATAAAAATAAAAGCTAATTTAAAATGAATAAATACTACAATAGTATATAAATAATGATGAAATAACACTGACGTACAGTATGAAAATATTGAGAGTTTCTAAAGATTACATTTATCAGTGTTATTAAATTGTTAAGTGTTTTTAAAGAAACTTTGGTAATCTATATGCAAAAATAAGCATATACCATTAAAAATCAACTGAACCAATAAATTTAAAAAAAAAAACACACACACACACACTAATTAATTCTTGATACCTGCTCTCATCGGGGTGTGTTGGTTCCACTTGACACTATGGTGCCATCTGTATTAGTGTGAGACTGCTCCTTCATCACTGGATCTGAAGACATGCACAAATTATGTATGTTTCTAGAATTTTTGTCAATTAGTTGTGTGTATACAAGTTGTCAGCAGTGAGGTAAGCTAACTCACAGAAATAAGGGTGCTCCATGGCCTCGGTGGCGGTCAGTCTCTGCTGATGGTCATAGCGTAGCAGCTTGTCAAGAAGGTCCAGAGCCTCTGGGCTCACCAAATGCTGGTTCTCCGTCTGCACAAACTGTTCCCAGCGCTTCCGCGTCTGCCTGTAGGATACGGCAGGAGTTTCAGTAACTGGTCAAACTTGCATAGTAATAGATTATGTCACAATTAGTATTAAAGCAATTGGTACTTGGTACTTCGTATCATTATCATATTCATTGTCATTATCATATTCAGTAACATCAAGTGAAAAGAGTAACACGTAACTGAATGAAAATGAGAAACGTTGCCTTGGCAGCTAGCTGAAAATTTTAATTCAAGTTTTTAAATATTTTTTATTTTATTTCAGTTAACATCTATTTTATTTGAGGTAAATAAAATGTTTATGGTTTAAATTTCAGTTTATTTAACTATAATAACACTGCTTTGTATTTTAATATCGATGTACTGAACACTTATGTTTGGCCAGATATCATTTATGATACATATTTCCTTTTGTAAAAAGTAACTTAACTCAGAGGAAAGCCTTGGAATTACCTCAAATAATAAATAAATATAATTTTATAATAAATAATTGGCATTTTATTTGTGAATATAATATAACACAACATATCATAACAAATCATATACATTTGCTTTCTATTCTTGGCTTGTGTTTGTTATTACTGTGTTTTAAAAAATCCATTTAAATTTCTGAAATGCCTTTATGACATCCTCTGCTGGTACTCACTGGCCAAGCAGGTCTTTGAATCGTGGATCCAGTTCAATGTGGTATTTGCGCAGGTAGCCGAATAACTCATCTGTTCCAAGAACTTTTGCAATCCGCACCAACTGGAGAACAAGGAAATCAAATGAAATCAGGGTCACATGCTAAAGATAAAGCATTTAGCTTGTAGCGTTAAATGCATAATATGTATTTTAAATCTACTTATAAAAATGAACGATCTATTCCTGATGTATAATGTCACGCACCTGATCGTAGTTGTCCTGGCCATGAAAGAAGGGCTCTTTCTGAAAGATCATACTGGCCAGCATGCAGCCGAGACTCCACATGTCCAGACTGTAATCATACATCTGTTCACACAAAAAAAAAAAACACACATTTAACCCAATAACCATAGACAGCCTAAAAAGAAAACAGCAATATATGACATTCAAAAACTTTAACTGTATATTATTCGGATCATAAATATTACAATGTACATCCAACGATTAAGCATCGGTCTAATATCAAACGTACTACGTTTAAGGACATTTGAGTGAGTGATGTTCTAAAAACCATCATTGTTTATTTCATGCTAGTCTGACTGTTACTGACAGCTTTTTATAGTTGTCTTTCATGTGACAACTGTGTCAGGAATATTTATGATCTGAGCACAAGGAAATAAGGTCAAAGACTTTTCAATATAAACAATGACATTGTGCAACTCCTCAACAGACTGAATTTTACATTACATACGAGAAAGTATTTGTTGTCGTCATAAAATTGAGGACTCTGTCAAAGTAGCTCAGCGTTTTAAAATTATTCTGTGTGATTCATGATGAGCATTTTACCTGATAGTCCACCAACAGTTCTGGACCCTTGAAATAGCGTGAAGCCACTCTGACATTGTACTCTTGTGCGGGGTGATAGAACTCAGCGAGACCCCAGTCTATCAATCTCAGCTGCATCAAAAACACACAAACATGATGCTGCAAATCAACACCTGAAAAACACTTTGTTACCCAAAAGAAAGTGGTACCCTGATGCCCTCTGCTGGTGCACAAAGCCAATAACTACATGACAGAGGGAACATTACAGTCTTTCTCTCTCTGAAAGTCTCTCTGATTTGTATTCGGAATGTCTTAAATGCAGTTCAAGATGAAGAATTAACGATAACTGCATCATTACCTTCCTTAACTGGTGGTCGATCATAACATTGTGGGGTTTGACATCACGGTGCATGATCCCCATACTGTGGCAGTAGTCAAGAGCCTGCTCGTATTTAAACGAAACGAAACAAAACCTTAGCAATGCATACAAGTCTCCAAAACAAGCCAGTGAAGCACACACTTGTAAGCTTACCTTTAGTAGTTCAAACATGTAAAAACGTATATCATAATCTGTTAACTTTTGATACAGCTCCTAAACAGGAAGGAAACAAAAGATATTAGATTTGAAGGATTTAAATGCAACTTAGACACTTCAAATAATTTTAATTATTATACCATTCCTTGGATTTTGATTAGCCAGCAGACAGTAAAATATTTCTGCAAAACAACTTATCACCTTAAATAGTCTCTTATTAAATATTGAAATGACCATCAATTCATTATTATTTTCCTTATAATAGACAGACTGGTAGATAGACAGATATACAGACGATAGATAGATAGATAGATAGACAGATAGACAGACGGACGGACGGATTGATAGACAGACAGACAGATATACAGATTGATAGACAGACAAATGACAGACAGACAGACAGATAAATAGATAGACAGGCAACCTTAAATAGAATATACCTTAAAATCTGTGTTATTGATGCATTCAAAGACAAGCGCAGGTGTTCGAGACTGCAGAATGATTGGGGAGGAATCCCAAAAACAGAGAGAAAAAGAGATGAACAGTCAAAAAAAAAAAAAAAGTCCTTCAATCAACCAATAAAACAATAGTAAGCATTAACAGACACCATCCAGCAGTCATTGTGATGGCAATCAGGAATAAAACAGGAGCACAAGGACCACAAAAGGATCATGGCTGGCTGCAACGCATTATACAGATGTAAAATCTAATTTGCTGTTTAAATAATCATTACTACGCTTCTCAGTCATTTTCATATGATCTCATTTGTGTCCATATAATCCTTTGAAATCACTCTATTACCGGTTGCTTATGTTTGTACAGTAAATCTGTGACATTTCCAATCTGATTTTTTTCCCCAATGTAATTTCACTGACAACTTTGAGACATAAAAACTTCTTACAACTAATTCCGGCCTGAACCCAAATTTGCATCTGTAAGCTATAAAAAGCAATTTGTCTCACATGCTGTCCACCCACAATCTTCAGAAAAGGAAAAATCGAAGTCCTCGTGGGACAAACTGTGCACCCTGATTGGACAAGTATCGCCAACGGAAGAGGAGAGAGATGGACAACGTACCACAGGGTCCTTTACTGTGTCCATTAGCTGAATGATGTTGGTTCCTCCTCGTAAGTTCTCCAGGATCTTGATCTCTCTCTTGATCTTCTTTTTCTTGACAGGCTATTTTAGAAATCAAATATGTAACAATATAAAAACCTAGTCAACATTAAACAACAGCAAAACCCTCATGACATGGCTTGATAAACACATTTTTGTCTGTGGTAAAACAGAAAGTTGAAATAGGAATTTTAAAAGGCTTGTCTCTGTTTGAAAACAGCCAATAGCCTGTAGTTTACCTCAAAAACATAGTTTGCTATTGCTAGTGAGAATATTAAGGGGAGGGAAATTCTCATTCCAGGAGACATTTGATTGGCCAAAACCTTAGACACGCCCAAGAGTGCAACATGTTTCATCAATATCTTTTTGTGTTTCCTCAGAAGAGAGAAAAAGTATATTTTAAATGCGTTTATATTTTTTAAGCATATACTCTGCTGTGCAAATGTTTGGGGTCAGTTCAATTTTTTTTTAAAGAAATTAACATTTATTCAGCAAGGATATATTAAAATAATCAAACGTGACAGTCACATTAAGTAGCCCAACTGTTCTTATTAGTAATAATAATAAATATTTTTTGAGCACAACATCAGCATATCAGAATGATCATGTGACAATGAAGACTGGAGTAATGATGCTGAAAATTCAGCTTTGCATTACAGGAATAAATGATATTTTAAAATATATTTAAATAGAAAACACTATTTTAAATTGGAATAATATTTCATATTTTTGAATAAATAAACGCATAAGAGACTTTCAAAAATATTTAAAAAATCTTACAGACCCCAAACTTTGGAATGTTAGTGTATGTATGTTAGTGTATTCAAGAGAGAAAATTATAATAATAATAATAATAATAACAATAAAAATCATGCAACTACCTACATGGAACTTACATCAAGCCAAGATTTCCTTCATTTTCTGGAGAAAATTACATTTAAATTTACCTCAGAGAAATCACATAATTTCATCAAACGTAAGATGAAAAGATGTCAAAGGTCATATTGACTACACACTGAATAGAAACTCACCTTGAGGATTTTGACCACCACCTTCTCATTATTGTTGATGTTGATGGCTTCGAAGACTTCGCTGTATTTGCCCCTCCCGAGCTTCCGTACCAGCTGGTAATCCTCCTGGTTACTGCAGGTGGTACACAGATTCACAAGCCAGTCAGATAGAGAATCTACACCAGAAAGCAACATCTCCAACCCAGCACGCAGATGAGCAACAAGAGGCTGAAACGCATTCAACCATCTGTGAAAATGACCAAGCCCATCATTTCCCCTGTCAGCTGAGGGCTGACTGACATCTCTACCAAGGGACTGAGCCAAAGACGACATTTTAAGCATTGGTCTCCTGTCTGAAAGCGCTCTTAACTATAGTAATGAGGCAAACGCCACTTTTCTTACAGAGCTTTGTACATGCAGAGTCACATTTTAATCTGAATCAAAATGGTTTAACAAAGCAGTAAGCTACAATAAATACAATTGGGAATATATACATTACGATGTAAAAAAAAAAAAAAAAACTTCAGCTGCGTCCAATTGTCCTATTTTAGTATTGTTTATATACAATTATAATGCCCAGTAATATTTTAAATTAGCTTTTATTTTTATATTTTCAGTTTTCATTTGAATTTTAAGTTTTCATTTTGCAATTAGTTTTTTTTTTAGTCTTGATTTATTTTTATTTCAGTTTTAGTTCCATTAGTACTTCATCTTATTTAAGTTATTTGCCAAGGCATCATTTCTCATTTTTGGTACAGTTTAATCTAATATTTATATTTTATTTCAACTTTATTTCAATTAACAAAAACAAATTGTAATACTTTTAGTTATCAATGACAACACTGGCATCCAAATGACTCACTAATGCCACAGCAACCATACAACTGATATTCCATGCTCAAATGTCATTTTTTCCCCCATTCTGGCACATCGCATTTAACATCAATGTCGTGGAACCTTGCAGTAAATAATGACTTAATTTTGACTCACTACACAAAAATAGAAGTTATATACACACACATATACAAATATATATATATATATATATATATATATATAACTTCAGAAGACTGATATCAAGCAAAATAGTTGCCAATTTTATGGTGCTTTCATGGTGTTTTTTTGACAGACAGTCACAATGATCAGTTTTACTGTATGGAAAAGAGCTGTGTGAAAATTGCTAAACAATTTCTCATTTTGTGTAATACAGAAAAAACAAACACAAAAAATAATAAATACCGACAACATATTCATCATCACCTGCAATAATATATATGCACTGTTTAAAACAGAAGCACATGAACTGCTCCAGAGGAATCTAACCATTAAAACCACTAAATGCTGTATTTGTGCACTGGTTTAGAGTGGTAATTCCTGGACGTGCACCGCACACTTGAGGGAAGCAGGGCATTTGCATAAAATCTGTGGATGCTGTGGACAGTCGCACACTCCTCTCTCTGCATCTGTACATCCGTTCATGCCATCCTCTCATCATCAGCTCTCAAAACAGGAGCTGCTCGATCACGCAGATTGATGACTTTCCCAGAACGATCGATAGCGAGCCTACAAATGTGAACCACTGCGCAAAGAAAACCAGCACACACATGCACAAAATTATACACGAAACGCGCCAAGGTAGGCAGCTCACTGGGTTTTGAGACACAAAATCAGGTGATGATGCACTTGGGCTTTTTATAGCTTTAAATCTCTCACCTCCAGGTGGGCACATGGGCCTCGTAGTCCCAGTATTCCCTGCTCTTCAAAGTGTTGACATCGGCATACACCCGAGATTTACTACCGGCCACCGGGCCGGGCATGGCGCGCGACGGGGCTCAGGGTGTAGGAGAAATCCGATCGCCAAATCAAGACCGCGGAGGACCACCGATCAGAAGTACACCAACCCGGGGGAGGCCTGGCGGTGTCCGGTGGCCGCTGAGCAGCGCTCGTTCCCCGGCTTGTCAGGGGTGTTTAAACCGCCTGGAGACCCGAGGGTGAAAATGAACGCTGGGTAGTCTGTGAAATGCTCTGGCAGTGCTAATGTCGCATGCAAAGCTAGATGGTCTATTTTGGATCTGTATGTGAGAAGTTTTGTGAAAAGTTAATGGGTTTAAAAATAGACTTTGAGTCTTAGGCGGGGGGGTTTGTTTAAATCTAATTCTTGTGGGTTAAACCCCCCCACCACCCCAAAGGGGCCTCAAATTCCTAGATCCAAAGCATAGAGATCCAAGAAGAAAAGCCGGGATGTGTTTCCTCTCAGTCTTCAGTCTGTAACAATATATGCTGGAAAATACAGTCCACCGTAACTGAGTAGAATATAACTAACCAGTCTCTAAGCTTCAGGGTGTTGATTGACTGGTGAGAGAGAGAGAGAGAGAGAGAGAGAGAGAGAGAGAGAGACGCGGTGGACTACAGAGCGATGTTCTGCTCGACCCCCGGTGGAAAACCGTGTCACCGTCACGTCGCTTGCGTAAAGTCGATATGCAAGAATCGCGAAACCCGTTTATAATCCCGTGCAGCGTTCCGCTTGTGATCGAGGTTCGGGTTTACCAATCCCCCCGTGCTGCAGCAGGAAAAAACGGACTGCAACGGTTTGACCCGGAAGCGCAAGATAGCTTTATCAATTAGCATTGAACAGCCGGAAGTACTGGGCATGTCCGTCCGTTGCTACGCGGCCATATATGAAAGACTTCCGCTTCCACTGTTGACAGAGGAACAGATCGCATTTCGACACAAGTACTATCAAAAAAATATTCATTTTGAGGAAATGTATGGCCGGATTTTTTCACTGTTCCTGTTTCACTCCGTTCAAAAAAGTGCAAGTTGTTTACGTTTCCTTAATAAACGATGAACTCGGGGAAAACATACGTAAACGGCGTATGTAAATCTAGCATGTAAATGTCCTCATAAGATACACGTGTACAATATTAAATAACAATACTGATGTTATTTATTTATTATGAATTTACTGTTTTATTTAAATATCTTTAATACATATGGTGTATAACGTTGTCTGGTATAATCTGTCCCTAAATTGAACAATTATGTTTATATTGAATGTGCTTTAATGTGTTATCACAATAATAAATGTATGTGTTTATTATTTTAACATAAATAATTTAATGGCAAAGCAAACACAAGAAACCATGGCATTGTTTACCTTGGCAACCATGGCAGAAACGACAGAGGACGGTCAAATCGGATAAAAAACAACTTGTTGAACTTGTGGAGGACTTGAAGTAAAGCACAAAAGCCTTTTTTTTTTTTTTTTTCAAAATCTTGGCTTATTCTCGCTGTCATATTTGACAAAAGGATAACCTACTTATTATTCGTTTTAATAATACTGTTATGTGGTTGGCAGATAACGAGACAGACTAGCAACGTTTAACTGATCCTAGTCTCTAAACGTTTTATTTCGTATTCTGTCGACAAACATTGTATATTATAAATTATATTTACATTTGAATAACTCACTTTTGTTTCCCTCAATTTAAGACGCCCCAATGCAGCGCGACAAGCAGAAATCGATCTGTTTGATCGATATATTAATCGACTGGACCCACAAACTCATTCGGAGTCTTTTGAAACAGCATCACAGCTGGAAATGGCAACGGTACGTATTTTATAGACGACGTGTGTTATATGCGTTTTGAATATCCTATCTTTGTATTTAATGTTAAGTGAATACAGTCATTGCATAATGTTCAATACGTCGTGACGTCCTTATCGTCTCTTTCCACTCTAAAATGTCGAGGTGAAATATTCCTGTGTATGTAAATCTTGTCATTTAAAACGTGTTACGTTGTTCTGTGTTCTTTAAATAACGTTACTGTGTTTTTAATTCATTCGTTCTTTCATCATCGTCAGTCATGACGTCATTCGCTCACTGTCCATCTTTTGAACCCAGAGTCCAGGAAGGAAAGCCCAAGTACGCACTCCAGAGAGACAACAGCTCCTGACACTGGAACAGAAATGTGATGTCGCCCAAAGCATGCATAAACAGATGACACAAGATTTGAAGAGAGCAAAAGACCATTCAGAGAGAGCTGGACAATTACAAGGTCATTAGTCAAGAGAGACAGAACAAGCTCATGAGGCTATGACAAATTCATTTCATATGTTTATGTAATTGATTAAACCCCCTTTAGGCAACTCTGGAAGAAGCTGATATCCACTTGGCAGAGGTTAAAAACGAATGCTGCCAGTTTGATCGTGACATCGGTAAAGCACTGCGAGACAAAAAGAGTGTGACGATGAGTGCTGAGAAGGTCATCAGATACATTGAGGATAAAGTAAGGGCCAAGGTAAAAGAAAACTTAAAGGGGTCATATGATGCGATTTCAAGTTTTCCTTTCTCTTTCGAGTGTTACAAGATGATTGTGCATAGATAAGATCCCTGAAGTTGCAAAGACTAAAGTCTCAAAACCAAAGAGATATTCTTTATCAAAGTTAAGACTCTGCCACGCCCCCCTAAAATGGCTCGTTCTAACACACCCCCACATATCTACCTCACTATGTGGAAATATTTGCATAATGTGCCCAAATGTGCACGCAAAGAAAGAAGGCGTGGTTTCTGTAACCGCAGTTAGTGTTGAAGCAGCATGTCAGGGAGACGGTGTGTGTTTCTAGGCGAAAGCAAAAGCACTTTATTTGGCCTTCCGAAAGTAGATGCATTTAGGAATCTTTAAGATGACTTACAACAGAACAGCAATGCATTTTATGGACAACCGTTTCGTGAACCTAGGAGAGGAAGTAATTCTGACTTTGCTATGACAATCTGGCGCTTCAGAATCAGCTACTGTTTTGTTATTAGTTTAAGTATTTGCTATTGACTGTTCAAATGCGGAGTTTTGCGCATCGTGTGTGTGTGTG